TCGATGAATGGGATTCGAGGGGAGTGTTGCCTCTAGTTATAATTTCTACTCTATAGTCCTGACTAGAGTAGCTAATAACTCAGAGGTGCAACTCAGGGTGTCCATGTGAATAGCCGTAACGGCTCTTTCAAATCCAAATCGTTTCGCAGAAATGTCCATTCGTGGCACGAGGGGAACTGTCAAATCGACATCCTGTTTTTTTTTTCCACTAATTTTTGTTCTCTTTTTTTGTTTCAGCATTTCCCAATCATATGAAACCTTGCAAGATCTAGGGCATTGAATGCCGTGACATTTGGAAGTTCGATGGGCGTTTAAATGTCATTGAGCAGATTGGGTGAGTGGAGTAAGGGCAGTGTGGAGCGTTTAATGTCTGGGTCCCCAGACTGACCCATCAAGTAATAATGAAGTAATGTGAAAACCAATTTTCAATCGCTTTCCCTTTCTTCAACCTCCCTCACCACCCCTCCAGCCTCTCTACGGGACTCACTAACGTAAGGTTTAGGCCTAACCAACAGACTGCCTTCAGGTCACGTCAAGGCCTACCTTTTCCTTTTCAAATGAAACTCAATTCTCGACTATTAGGCCTATCGTGAATCGTGGTCTTCGAGACATCTGGTTAAGGACGTGTAACGTTAGGCCAATCTCATGTTCAGTGAGGACTGTCAACTGCAAGTTCTAGTGAGGGGAACCAATGAGAGAATTGGGTTTTGAAAACGTGGGCATTTGTTATCGATTTGGTTATGGCGCAGGAACAAGTCCAGATTCAGCGCAACTGCTTCCGCGCACTCGCAGGGATTATTTTAAAAGGGAAGGAGGTGTTCCTCAGTGGCATAGTGCCCTTCATATCTTGGTGAAGCACCTCAACGACGTGAAGCTACAGCGAGAGTATCCCTTTCTTTTTTGCCTTGGCTAGAAATTCCTTTTCCCTTCCATTCTGACCATGCACAATGAATCCAGCTTTCCTTCGGAAAGACCGGTCCTTCCATGTCGTGTCAAGGCTGGATTAATATATCATCATTTTGGAAGAATGAAATTCATATGAAGAAATAGGACACCAATGTTGAAGTTGGCAATTTCGTCGTATTTTCACAGTGCCGTTATTGAAATTTATTAAGCGAGATTTCTGTTTCCAGTCGTGTGAATTATTCATAGGGTAGCTCAATGTAATGCTAAAGGGCGTGGTAAACGAAGTTCTGGGTTGAAATGTGGACAGTTTCACGAATACGAAAACGACTCAAGTTCTCTATAGTTACAGAAATACATTTTCGAGCATGCTTGGATACTGAAACAAATTCCAATTTCAATTATTAAAAAATCGTATAGTAAAATTCGAACCTCACTATTTTCCATACTCCCGTTATGTTTGGGATAAAACAGGCTATGACATGATATACACACCTGGATATCGAAAATTGCTAAAACATGTTAGTCTACAGCGCAGCGGAGTTCTGAACGCTGATGGGAGCAAGTCAACCGAAACCACGACTCTCGGTTTCACACTGCAAGAGGAAGTGATGTGGGGAATTGGGACCTCACTGTTCTAATAGAGTATGCGATCTTGCTCGTCCGTTGGGGAAGTCCATTCCAGTTTGTATATCGTGATAACATAAGCATATCTAGGAGCGCGCAAGCATCACTTGAGAGGGAGGAGCTGCGAGAGCATTTTTACCAAATGACCAAGTGTTTTTTTTTTTAAATATCTGGCTCAAAATGGACGATGCCAGGGAAGTTGAAGAGCTGCTCACATTCTCTCTTTGTGCTTTCTTAATGTGACGGGTCTTGAAACAAACTCTCCAACAATTGCAGTGTCATCGAATATACTAATTCTATGGACACGCCAGACATCGAAGATAAAGCAACTAAATTTCAGGAGGGATCTTTTTTTTTTCTTCATTCTGTTTCTCCGCAGTAACCTTAGCGATCCGATAGTACAACCTAACGCGCAACGCGCAGCTTTCTGCCCGAGTCGCGGTGCCCGTCTTCCACTACAGCATCCACTTCCCTTCCAACCCTGGCGGTTAGAGACGATGGAGGAGAGCGGCTGCTCCCGGCAGCGTAGATATGGGGTTGCTAGGCACACTCGTGAAATACCGTATATGCCAACCTTTCACTTTTTAATATCCTCACGTCTCCACGTGACGCCGACACGCGAATTATCGAAACCATGTGTAGTTGACTGATGCATTTAATATAGTATGCTGTACGAATGACATTCATCAATATTTATTTCGAAGTTCTATGATTATGATGCAGCAAAGAAGATAATTCCAAAAATATCCGGGCCCTTGGAATGGAAGATCTTTACCTGGACTTCTACTNCCATTCTGACCATGCACAATGAATCCAGCTTTCCTTCGGAAAGACCGGTCCTTCCATGTCGTGTCAAGGCTGGATTAATATATCATCATTTTGGAAGAATGATATTCATATGAAGAAATAGGACACCAATGTTGAAGTTGGCAATTTCGTCGTATTTTCACAGTGCCGTTATAGAAATTTATTAAGCGAGATTTCTGTTTCCAGTCGTGTGAATTATTCATAGGGTAGCTCAATGTAATGCTAAAGGGCGTGGTAAACGAAGTTCTGGGTTGAAATGTGGACAGTTTCACGAATACGAAAACGACTCAAGTTCTCTATAGTTACAGAAATACATTTTCGAGCATGCTTGGATGCTGAAACAAATTCCAATTTCAATTATTAAAAAATCGTATAGTAAAATTCGAACCTCACTATTTTCCATACTTCCGTTATTGCTTTGGATAAAACAGGCTATGACATGATATACACACCTGGATATCGAAAATTGCTAAAACATGTTAGTCTACAGCGCAACGGAGTTCTGAACGCTGATGAGAGCAAGTCAACCGAAACCACGACTCTCGGTTTCACACTGCAAGAGGAAGTGATGTGGGGAATTGGGAACTCACTGTTCTAATAGAGTATGCGATCTTGCTCGTCCGTTGGGGAAGTCCATTCCATGTTGTACATCGTGATAACATAAGCATATCTAGGAGCGCGCAAGCATCACCTGAGAGGGAGGAGCTGCGAGAGCATTTTTACCAAATGACCAAGTGTTTTTTTTTTTAAATATCTGGCTCAAAATGGACGATGCCAGGGAAGTTGAAGAGCTGCTCACATTCTCTCTTTGTGCTTTCTTAATGTGACGGGTCTTGAAACAAACTCTCCAACAATTGCAGTGTCATCGAATATTCTAATTCTATGGACACGCCAGACATCGAAGATAAAGCAACTAAATTTCAGGAGGGATCTTTTTTTTTCTTCATTCTGTTTGTCCGCAGTAACCTTAGCGATCCGATAGTACAACCTAACGCGCAACGCGCAGCTTTCTGCCCGAGTCGCGGTGCCCGTCTTCCACTACAGCATCCACTTCCCTTCCAACCCTGGCGGTTAGAGACGATGGAGGAGAGCGGCTGCTCCCGGCAGCGTAGATATGGGGTTGCTAGGCACACTCGTGGAATACCGTATATGCCAACCTTTCACTTTTTAATATCCTCACGTCTCCACGTGACGCCGACACGCGAATTATCGGAACCATGTGTAGTTGACTGATGCATTTAATATAGTATGCTGTACGAATGACATTCATCAAGATTTATTTCGAAGTTCTATGATTATGATGCAGCAAAGAAGATAATTCCAAAAATATCCGGGCCCTTGGAATGGAAGATCTTTACCTGGACTTCTACTCCCTAGTTCTTCATTCTGAATGCCTGCAGTATCCATGACGCTGGAACAACACTGCTCACTGCTCACTGTGCAGCTTTTCGACTGATTCGGCGTGCCCATCTTCCGCTAAATCATGGTTTCCCCTTCCAGCCCTCGCTATGACGGATCCCTAGTACACGAAATTTCTGCATTCGATACGCTATCGATATTAGACTGTTACAAGGTGGTGAAATGAATGCCAGCTTTCTTTCAGCACCCTTGCTTAAGTTTTCCAATGTCCATTAATAGGTGAATTTTAGGTGCTTATAGGTGGAAATTGCAATCAAAATAAGGTGGTGATATTATAATAACCGTGTAGTCAGAAAGTTAGCCTGTGCGTGTTGCGGGCCATTTTGTGCCCCGAATCCCCGAATCTCCACCCCATTGATTTAAAACTCCCTTTTCTAGGCCGATGTTCGAAGGACGAACATAATTTTTTTTTATCTGAGGGCTATTCTCTAAAGAATTGAACCAATTCTCAAATTTCATGGAATTCTGAGACGGTCGAACACAGATCATAATAGCACCCTGTGGGGATGATCCACCTCTAAGCACATTTAATTCACCTCTAAATGGGCATTGCACAACTTACCTTTTTAAACAACCTTTTTAAAGCTGCATTAATGAAACTATTTCTCAGCCAAGGAACACGGTAGAACGTTTTTTATATCTCCCTATAAGCGTACTTCTTTTCATGCTTTTCCTGGATTTATTCAATCCCAGTTCCTTCCAAAAAAAATTAGAACAACGGTCGCAATTATCGACACTTCATAAAGTACAGTGTAAAAGAGTATAGCAAGTAGAGATTTGTTGATTAAAAAATTTATCCATGGGCTGTACAAGAAAATATAATTTCTTTTTAATTTGTCATATGAATAGTAAACACATTTATCGCCTTTTGGATTTTTCTTGAGGTTTTCCTTCTCGGGGCATCAGTCAAGGATCAAAAGGTGAATTTTTGCAAATAAGAAAAACTTTTATCTGGCTCAAATTCCAATAAACATGACATTTTAATTTCTCCTGTAATTCTCATTGAATTGAGAGGTTTAATCAAGATTCTGGCACAATAATTCTTGAGTTAAAGGGTTATCGAAATAGGAGATTAATAATTATAAAAATATGAATTCCTAAGTACTGCCTCCAATTTTACCATCCCTACTTCTCATTGGATTTTTTTACATTTTAGATAATCATATCATCTGCTGATTCATTGACTAAGTGATGTTCGTGAAGCTACAAGTGGAGACTTCCTGAGGAAGAACCGGAGTAGAAGCATGCCGATTCCTCGGTGAGTTTCGAATACGACGGCGAAACCCGGCCAAAGACACCGTCCCAATCCCTATAGAAGCTTCATTCAAAGCGTCCGGGGCCAGGATTCCTGGAAGATGGGGAAAGCGATTGGGATTGATGGGAATCTCAGTGGCTGACGAGGAGAGGATTTGACTTGTGTGGAAGAAGGGGAATAATTTATTTATTTATTTTAAGGCGATGATTCGATCTTGTCCTTGCAATTGTTGAGAATGACTTTTCCTTGTCATGACAGGGGGATTCGCGCCTTCCTGACTCCAGTTTTAATTCCGTGTCTCTTCTGGGCTGGGTTGTCTTCAAAGCTCAACGTCTACCATGCCGTATACCAAGGACAACGGTATGGGAACGTGTCTCTGGAGTTGAAGGTGGAGAACTTCGAGGAATGTCACTTGAAATGCGTGATGATAAAACAGTCCCAGGCTTGCTACGCTTTNTGGAGGAGAGCGGCTGCTCCCGGCAGCGTAGATATGGGGTTGCTAGGCACACTCGTGGAATACCGTATATGCCAACCTTTCACTTTTTAATATCCTCACGTCTCCACGTGACGCCGACACGCGAATTATCGGAACCATGTGTAGTTGACTGATGCATTTAATATAGTATGCTGTACGAATGACATTCATCAAGATTTATTTCGAAGTTCTATGATTATGATGCAGCAAAGAAGATAATTCCAAAAATATCCGGGCCCTTGGAATGGAAGATCTTTACCTGGACTTCTACTCCCTAGTTCTTCATTCTGAATGCCTGCAGTATCCATGACGCTGGAACAACACTGCTCACTGCTCACTGTGCAGCTTTTCGACTGATTCGGCGTGCCCATCTTCCGCTAAATCATGGTTTCCCCTTCCAGCCCTCGCTATGACGGATCCCTAGTACACGAAATTTCTGCATTCGATACGCTATCGATATTAGACTGTTACAAGGTGGTGAAATGAATGCCAGCTTTCTTTCAGCACCCTTGCTTAAGTTTTCCAATGTCCATTAATAGGTGAATTTTAGGTGCTTATAGGTGGAAATTGCAATCAAAATAAGGTGGTGATATTATAATAACCGTGTAGTCAGAAAGTTAGCCTGTGCGTGTTGCGGGCCATTTTGTGCCCCGAATCCCCGAATCTCCACCCCATTGATTTAAAACTCCCTTTTCTAGGCCGATGTTCGAAGGACGAACATAATTTTTTTTTATCTGAGGGCTATTCTCTAAAGAATTGAACCAATTCTCAAATTTCATGGAATTCTGAGACGGTCGAACACAGATCATAATAGCACCCTGTGGGGATGATCCACCTCTAAGCACATTTAATTCACCTCTAAATGGGCATTGCACAACTTACCTTTTTAAACAACCTTTTTAAAGCTGCATTTATGAAACTATTTCTCAGCCAAGGAAAACGGTAGAACGTTTCTTATATCTCCCTATAAGCGTACTTCTTTTCATGCTTTTCCTGGATTTATTCAATCCCAGTTCCTTCCAAAAAAAATTAGAACAACGGTCGCAATTATCGACACTTCATAAAGTACAGTGTAAAAGAGTATAGCAAGTAGAGATTTGTTGATTAAAAAATTTATCCATGGGCTGTACAAGAAAATACACTTTTTTTTTTTAAGTGTCACATGAATAGTAGACACATTCCTCACCTTTTGGATTTTTCTTGAGGTTTTCCTTCTCGGGGCTTCAGTCAAGGATCAAAAGGTGAATTTTTGCAAATAAGAAAAACTTTTATCTGGCTCAAATTCCAATAAACATGACAAATTTTAATTTCTCATGTAATTCTCATTGAATTGAGAGGTTTAATCAAGATTCTGGCATAATAGTTCTTGAGTTAAATGGTTAGCGAAATAGGAGATTAATAATTATAAAAATATGAATTCCCCAGTACTGGCTCTCATTTTACCGTCCCTACTTCTCATTGGATTTTTTTACATTTTAGATAATCATATCATCTGCTGATTCATTGACTAAGTGATGTTCGTGAAGCTGCAAGTGGAGACTTCCTGAGGAAGAACCGGAGTAGAAGCATGCCGATTCCTCGGTGAGTTTTGAATGCGACGGCGAAACCCGGCAAAAGGCACCGTCCCAATCCCTATGGAAGCTTCATTCAAAGCGTCCGGGGCCAGGATTCCTGGAAGATGGGGAAAGCGATTGGGATTGATGGGAATCTCAGTGGCTGACGAGGAGAGGATTTGACTTATGTGGAAGAAGGGGAATAATTTATTTATTTATTTTAAGGCGATGATTCGATCTTGTCCTTGCAATTGTTGAGAATGACTTTTCCTTGTCATGACAGGGGGATTCGCGCCTTCCTGACTCCAGTTTTAATTCCGTGTCTCTTCTGGGCTGGGTTGTCTTCAAAGCTCAACGTCTACCATGCCGTATACCAAGGACAACGGTATGGGAACGTGTCTCTGGAGTTGAAGGTGGAGAACTTCGAGGAATGTCACTTGAAATGCGTGATGATAAAACAGTCCCAGGCTTGCTACGCTTTCAACTACAATGAGAAGGATGGATCCTGCCAGCTGATTGACAACGGAAAGAGCCATCTCGTTCCCTCAAATGAGTATCAGGCTTACGTTCAATGTGAGTGCAACTCGGTATAACAATGATGTATTTCATAAGACTCCCTACTCTTGGTCTAGAAAAACAGATTTATTGGATGGAGAGTGGAAAGTACCTATTACACTTGGGGCAAAGCTCTTCCCTTTTAAATTTTCCGATCGAAAGGAATCGCACGGCTAGGGAAGATCCCCGCACCTACAACTAGGTGCTAAGATTCTGCTTTGAGATACAATAATTGCTTTCGACACGTTGCTGTACTGTTCGTTGCGTTGCGACCGGCCATATCAGAAATATCTCAGCTAATACGACGAGCTAAGGAGTAGGAAAATTATGGAGCATGGTGATCTTGAGGAGAGAAAGTCATCAATCACAATCGAAATCGGAATCCTATTCAGTCATCAAAGTACGAAAATAAACTTCCTGTTCAGGAAGAGGCCAACCAAGCGAAGAAAAATCACTGAAGGGTTGAAGGATGTTGAAGGTTGAAGGATGTTGAAGGTTGAAGGTTGAAGGATGTTGAAGGTTGAAGGCCTAGACAAGATCATGAAAGGACGGTGGAGCTTTACTGCATTCATGATCCTGTTGGCGTTCGCAGAATTAATCCTGGGAATTCGCGAAGCTTTCGGATGGAATGTGCAGCGTCTGGTACAAAAATTGGATGTGGGAGACATGAAAGTTTCCTATCCGATGGAAGATAGTATTCCTTTTCAACCTAGGAACAAAATCATGTTAATACATTTTGCTGGAACCCTTCTATATCCACCCAGCGAATTTGTTCATTGTCAACTCGCCTTCTCGCCTCGGCCTCGCCTATAAACTCATTATCAAATCAGCGGTTAGCTCCATATAATATTACGAATACGAATTCTTCATAGCCCCAGAACTGTTATTCACTGTTATTCACTGTTATTCACTGCATGCTACTTATGATGTCAGTGATGACCGTCTTGTAATGGAGGTGCTCTTAGACGTGTTTCTCACAGATGTACTCTATGTAAAATACAGTTCTTTGCTTGACGGACTACCCGAGGATCGAGAACGCAGAAGAATCCTTCGACGGTTGGACGGGTAAGCACCCGGCCCCACGTGGTGGAGTGGTGAACTTCTCGTGCAAGCACCCGCGGGGGTTCAGGGATGGGCGGAAGGAGCACCAGGCCACCTGCTCGTCCTATGTAGCTGATGCCTGGTGCGCGACGTTCATCGAAAAGGAAAAGGATCTCTGTCCTCCGCCGCGTGAGCACTTCGTCAAGACACGTGTTGCAGTTCTTCCCAATTGCTAGAGCCCTATTTCAGGTCTTCATGGATATTTTTCAAAACTTAATATGTGATCGGCAAAACTGTTGGGTCTTTTCTCACATCCATGCCTCCAACAGTCAAAAGGGCGCCCATTTTTTAAATATCAAAATCAAAGTACGCTCTTCAATATTCTAACGTACGTGGAAAGGAATGTCAATTAGAGACCGGGGAAAATAATTCTTCTGATGATTCCCCATTTTTAAATGACAATTAAATGACAACCTTCGACAATTTTGAATATAATATAATGGCGATGATGTGCTCGTGCCAATACACTGAGAGTCGTTTCTCCATTTTTTTGTTCCATGGAATATTTTTTACAGTTTTGTGGTTCATACATTGAGATCTTACCCTACTGTCCTCATCTTCTACTGACATCTTACACAATCTAGGTTCGATTGCTGAGTGGATGTGAATACGGCGGGTGTTTCAACCAGCATAGATTTCCACTTGTAAAAACCATCAAAACAATTCAAAATTGAGACATATGAGACATATGGACGAGGTACTGCATGAAAGCGCACAAACTCCCCCACCCCCATTCTTCCCCTCTCGCCTTCGTTGAACGGGAAATTGCTCATTTCTGTTGTACAGTGGATCATGATTTCTGAAAGTCGAGCCCACTATTATCTATTCAGCTGATTATATTCTAACAGAAATTGATCGTAAGTTAATACTCAGGATCAGGTATTTCGGATTTTTCTAAATAGGAGTCGGCATTACTGCCTGCCAACTATTCAATACATTGCTGTATCGACGTAAGAAACAATTTCAACGCTTGAGACGGAGCATTCAGCTCTGAGAACTCTGGACGATGAGAAAAAATTTGCGATTGGTTGGAAGGAATTTTGGTGGATGGAGATTGCCGTCAGAAGACATGGATCCATCGTCCGCGCTCGTCGAATCGGTCTTATTATCCTTTTCCGTGCGTTAGGTTTCGAAAAATGTACGTAAAGGGTATTGATGCATATTCAACGAACGTCTCATTTAGGAAGCTGCCAACGCGCGATAATCTGTAAACCAAATTTGAAAGGCCATCTCTTTCTTCGACCCCCATCCGCTTTCTTACAGACCAATAATTGTTATGGGGACAATTAACCTGATGTGGATGAATCCTTCGTGTTCCTCGAGACATCGCGTTGAGGACGAGTAACGTTATGCCAATCACGCTCTCACGAACCATTTCAGTGAGAGCCTGTAACGTTAGAAGCCTGTTTCGAGTTTCATTGTGAACGTAGAATATTGGGCTTATTTGGAGCTCCTCCAACTATCTAACTAATAGATCTCAGGAGAGCATGCCACCAGGAAGCATAAAAAGCATGATATGGTTTTCATGCTTATTCTGCATATTCAGGGATGCTCGGATTATATTTCTCCATAATACACCACATCGATTGGCCTCTGCTAGCCACCATTTTATTTTCAGCTCACAGAGTGTAGTCACAAAAATCCATTTTTACGAAAATTCTGCTTTTGATTCGTAGGAAAAAAAAGATTGATTTGCGTGATCCGGAAAACCGGGGAAATGAGTACTTAAAAAAGTCTGAAAAAAAGGGGTTATCAGAAGATTACTCCCTCATTAAGAGAAGATAAGATAGGACAGGATTCGTTATTATTCCGAGCGGAATTGCATTCAATTGACCTGATTTGCAGAATCCTGCGTGACTGAGTACCCCAGCATAGAAAACGCCACCGTGACATACAACAGATGGGACGGGAAATACCCAGCACCACCTGGTTCCCGCGTCATCTATGCCTGCCCTAAATGCTCATGGTTCGATGACGGGTCGGACATCCACAATGCCACCTGTTCCTTTCGTATCGAAGACGCCTGGGACAGCTCCTTTCACGACCGGCATGTTCGATGCCAAGGTAATTCACTTGCCTTTACCGAAAATCCGTCAGTTTAACACGATTCCTGGCTCGGAGCAGCAAAGATCGGTCGACGATTGCGTTCGGTGTCCGGGTGCGGGCAAGAATCGGGCCGATCGAGTTTCGACTCGGACAAGTCGACCCGTGTCGGCCTCCAACGCGCGCAGAAAGACAGAACACAGAGAAATAACGTTCGCAGCATACTTTTTTTTTTTCAGGGATTTTTGATTCAGGATTCCCTCTCTGGCTGGCTGTGCTCGTGCCGTGTACGCCGGAGGCAATGGTCCGCCGCAACCTTTCTTAAAATGAGCTGCTGCGCCTCGAAAGTGAATAGATGGATTTTTTCTTTGCGCCCATGTGCTCGTTTCATTTCCTGATCAGCTCTAAAAGTGCACAGCGACACTCTGAACCAAATACGAGAAGCTACACATTGCAAAAGGTTCCAACTTTTTTTTTTTTGGACAGAGTGTAGAACCACCCCTTGCAGTAGGCAGCATTTCTGTAGGTTTTGTGCTGGCTTTATTGTTTTTAGACTGTTTATTTTTCATCTTGCAATTAGTGGAGTGCGAAATTATAAGGATGTTTCAGGAGAGAAAACATGAATAAAATACAAAATTTATTGAATAGATCTCTTTTTAAGCCTATGCTTGAAAAAGCCCTTCACCTTGGCCAAGAAACTGACCGCCAAGACGTGCACCGGTATGCCTCGCTTCATTTAATTTTCGTAACCCCTTGTAAGGATAAATGTAATTGAGGAAAGATCAGCCCATGGACATACGAGGTCTGATCAAAAAGTATCCGGACTTGGTGTTTAATGTTTAAAATAAGGTCTCGCTTGGAGTTTTGACTCGACGTGTCTTACCATGTCGAGACGTGTCGTCCAATAGGGTTGCACTTCATCGAGTAGCGTCAGACCGTTGTGATAACGTTAAAGATTTTTTTGTCTAGCAGCGTTTTTTTCAATGTCAAATAGTACCGTGCAACGTGTTTGTATTATATTTCGTTTTAAAATTGGGAAAACGGTCAGTGAAACTTTTGATTTACTCAAAGGAGCATGCGGTTATGATGCTTTGGCCCGCAAGCAAGTTTATGATTGGTTCCCTCCAAACAGCGATGAAAAGAGTGAAAGTGTCCTTCGTCCTTCGTCCTTTGTGTCCTTCGTCCCCACAGCCAAAAGAAGCGCGCAAGTGCACAGGAAAACTAAGGTCACGTTGCTGGCTTTTATTGACTGTGAAGGTGTTGTGCACCTTACGCATGCTCAACAGGGACAAGCAATCAACAATAAATTTTTAGTGGAAGTTTTGAGTCGTCTACGTAAATCAGTTTACGTAGAAACGGCCCCAAAAGTGGGATTCCGGAGACTTGATGTTTCAACACGATAACGCGCGTCATGACTCCTTGCAATTTGTCCAGCAATTTTTGGCCAAAAACGGATTTGGCTCCATGCAACTTTTTTTGTTTCCGAAGATCAAAATGACCCTGAAAGGACTCCGATTCGATGATGTCGAGACCATTTAAAGAAATTCGACAGAGCAGTTTTTGGTCGCCCCGAAAAGTGCTTTCGAAAATTGTTTTAGAGTGGCAGGATCGTTGGCCAAAGTGTGTGTCTTCAGAAGGAGGGTACTTTCAGGGTGATATAGCCCCAAACCCTGTAAGTACCATATTCTGTCTATAATCGCACTAGTCCGGATACTTTTTGAACAGATCTCGTGGTGCACTTTCCTAGACTCACAAAACCTCTGCAGCACTGCTGAAGCCTGCTGAAGCAAAAAATAAAAAGAGGCCTCATGGCACTCAACCTGTTAGGGGATTTTAAGGGGTTGAAAATATATTTTGGCCCACATGCATGTTACGCTGAATTGACCAGGAGATAGCGAATCGATTGATACCATATACGTCATCAATAGAAGAATTCCAGTGACTTTTGAATCAGAATGTATTTTTCCCTTTCGTATTACGACTCTTGAACTTCTTAACCGATAGGTTAAGAAGGACCTTCTTAACCTATCCACATTTGTTGAAATAGATCTGATGATAGTTAATTTATTTGGACGCTTCTGCAGATGCCACCATGACTTATGTAATATATCATTGCAGAGGGAGTTAGGGAATGCCGAATGACGACAATGGGGATGGAGTACAGAGGGACCCGCAGCCAATCACAATCTGGAAAAGAGTGCATACATTGGAAAGACATGAGAAACTTGGTAGACCCGTTTGCCCTCCCTTGGAATCTCTATTACACTGAGCAACCCAATTTATACAGGCCCAACGGAAACTATTTCCTTGGAAGAATTAAAAGCCAGGACCTAAACTATTGCCGGAATCCAACGATGATGGCGCGGCCATGGTGTTTCTTTTCCACCAACATTACACAATGGGAATACTGCGACATCCCCTTCTGCCCCGGCCGCAAAGGTCTGCGATCCTTTGGTCTGCAAGGACAGAGGGTGATGAAAGGTTCCGAACGCTTCGGAGCTGTAAAGCACACTGGTGGCTAGCCATTTCTGGATGAATCATCTGATTACCCATTTGAGCTTTGAATGAGTCATTACGTGCAACAGTTTTAAATCGTTTGGAATTCTCCTTTAAATCCCTTTTCGCATTCGTGTAATTGTTGAGCAAAACGGTTAAGTTGCTTCGATTCGAGGTCGGAATGACGTTGCGACATGACTTCTTTAATTGTGAAGTTGCAAACGCATGGAATTTTGCGAACGTCGATGTTTATCTTTTCATGAGCTAGTGGATCCCGAATGCCGACTGACGTACAGCGGGATAGAGTACAAGGGGACGGTGAACGTGACAAAGACAGGGAAACGATGCCTAACTTGGAATTCCGCTGAGGTGAAGACGTACATAGAAATGGACAGACAGAGATATGATAACATTTGGGATATACCCACCGAAATGAACTTTTGTCGGAATCCGGATTTCTACGAGATGCCCTGGTGTTACGTCGGTGACAACGGCTTGAGGGAGCTTTGTCGGATCCCCCTTTGTGACGATCGAAGTGAGTGCCTACGTGAAAGTGATTTATGTTCACCCACAGATAAAAGCAATTGGCATTCCAAAACAAACTTGTGCTCCATTCCCAATTTACTTTTCAATCCTTTTCAACTTGTCAGATACTAATTACTTCTTAATTACTACTTATTAATTACTTATTAATTTTACTTATTAATACTTATTAATTTTACTGTATGCGTTCAATTTGTGCACAATACTACGACAGGGAAAATTATCATTTTGTTCTAAGATCATACATGTATAATTTTCGATTCAACAAGTCTCATTATCCGATTGCTCTTCCAGGATCCAAAGAATGCAAAACGACTTTGCAGGGAACTGACTACAATGGCTCAAAGAACTGGACCATTTTTGGCGCACCGTGCCTTCCATGGACAACGGCAATGGAAATAATCAAAAAATCTGGAGAGAAATGATTTCCAGAACATTCATTCACTAGTAGCCTCATGGCCGACCACAACTACTGTGGGAACCCCGGATCAAATTCTCAAGGTCCATGGTGCTTCATCGAATGGAGCAATATGTTGGGGAAGGATAATCTTTCTGTGATTCCGGAGTCATGCTTTGTGCGTTCGTGTCTTCGAGAAGAAATAAGAGAAGGCACCTGAGACGGAGTGCACGCGCAAGTCGAGTGAGCTTAAAATGTCCATTCCGAATTGATAATTAATTCCATGATACTTCTCTTTCAGGTGTCACAAAACTCGTCTCAAACTGGAGCGTTACCGAAGGTTTCCGTGATTCCAACGCGCAAATGTACTGCATTTCGTTTTAAGATGTGGCTAGGCCGCCAAGAATCGTAAAATGCTGTGAATATCACTGCCGTGGTTCTTGTAAGATCGGTATGGATTTTTACTTGGATCCAAAACTCATGATTCTGCCTGGATCACCAGTTCCAAAATACAATACAGTGTTCTCACACCAAGTTCAAATCGAAGTGCGGCAAGCGGAAAGCTTTTCAACCGAAGGATCAAAATATAACATGCAAAAGAAAGCATTCTCCTTCATAATAAATTGCAATATATCATGATGCAGCAGCCAATCTGTCGAATTGTGCGCTGAAATTGCGTAAAGTGATTCCTTAGGATCCGGTGTAGCTCGTATAGAATGCATCCAGAAAAGAATATAGCATTAGGACGATGTCGCATCCATTACAAATAAATACTTACAAAAGCTTACAAGTATAATATATTTCGATATTTCTTTTTCTTCAGTGACGAATTTGTAATTCACATCATAGTAATCACGTCCTAATACTAGTACAGAAAATGTCTGCGCCAACAATGTTTGGAAGAAAAATGTCTGGGAGTGAAAAAATGAGATTTCGAATCATGTTTTAGATGTTACTCATGGCTATTACTTAGCGAAAACTATTCTTTCGTGGAAACCTTGTTTCTTGTAGCAACTGCTAGATGACTTGCCTGCAGCTCAATCACTTCATAATCCATTCTTTTACTCATAAATCCTGACCTACTGCATCTTCATTTTCCTTGTTGATATATATTTCACGTATTTCAAGACGTCAGAAGCTGCCATGGGTAATTTTTATATCCTAATGCAGTCTAGAGTTTTCGGGAGAGTAAGTGAAACGGTACTTCGGAACTAGTTCTGTCTCACAGAAGAAGACCCATGCCATTTTCTTCACACTATACTTCCATTTCAGTTGGCGTTGAGGCAATGCAGATATATCCGGAATGCCGAATGACGACAATGGGGAAGGAGTACAGAGGCACCCATAGCCGAACACAAACTGGGAGGAATTGCATTGACTGGAAGACGGCTCTTTCCCAGCATGCACGGAACCAGAGACTCAGTTTCTCTGAGTTTTATCGCGATAGTTTTCTCCCAACGCAGTTGCCGGGAACTGACTGGGACAGTGTCATGAATAGAGAGTACATCAGCGAATTCATTTCAAAGCAGGACCTCAATTATTGCCGCAATCCAACGTCGGCGGAGCAGCCATGGTGCTTTGTTGATTCAACACCTTCAGTAGAATTCGATTATTGGGATTTTTGCGACATCCCATTCTGCCCCGGCCGCAAAGGTCTGCGATCCTTTGGTCTCCGAGGATGCTATGCATTGCATAAGATGTCTCATTATCTTAATATTTTCCCACTCCGCTCGAAGTCATGTTGCCGACACTGTAAGTTTCTGGTGTCTCAAAGTTTCATGACGAGCTGCAGAGCGGAGAAGAAAAAACCGAACGGGCCTCTCTGAGGAAAGGAGATTAGCGGCTGTGACTAATTGTGCGAACAGAACACGTTGGGTCCTGCTCATTCGTAAAGTTCGGGCTTCACTTTTTCATTGAAATCAGGATTAAAGCGATGAAGATTGGGAAATTGTTTCCCTCCGTACGCATGAGCTTGGTCCTGAACAGTTTTTGGCTGCTGCTACAAATGGCTGTTCGAGGTCGACGGCGTATGGTCCGTAACGTTTAGAATCACTGGTGAACGATCAATTGATGTTCTTACACAAACACCTCATCTTCCGTTCCCGTTGTCTTCAGTGTCATTTTTTCTTTTTCCAATTCATTACCCCCCGCCCCTGTCAGTCTTCTTCATAAGGAACCAACGTGTCCAGTTCGCACACTTAATCACAAGCGCTAATCTCGCTCCATTCCCCAGATAGACTCTTTCTGTTTTTGTTTTTGTTTTTTTTTTTTTGCTCAGCACTATACGAGTATATCTGGGTGAATCATTTGATTACCTCCATGTGCTTTGAATTTGTCCATGGCCGCAATGGTTTGTAATCATTTGCGTTCCCCAATTAAAACCTGTCTCACAAATGTGAAATCGTTTAACATAGCAAGTTATTATTAAGTTACGTATTAAGTTATGCGTATTAAGTTATGCATATTAAGTTTTGTAAGTGCAAGGTCAAGCTGACATTGCGACATGATTTCTTCAAATGTGAAGCAGTGAACGAAAGTTTTACTTTATGCGATGGTGCCCATTCCGAGATAAGCATTGAGAGTATGTTATTCATCATCGTGAATGAAGTAAAAAAAAAATAGAATAATGCCATAAGCGCCTTCGCATTGCGTGGATACGCTTCCACAAAAAATCGATCTTGAAGAGGGCTGAGGCTGTCTCATGAATCATGAAGGCTCGACAACGACAAAAATGTCATAATAGACGGAACTACCTCTTGACTTCCCAACCCGAACCCTGAACAATGAACATTGAAGCGCTCCGAAAATACAGGGGACAATGATTCGACGTTCAGATTCGCAGGTCAAGATGCAACACCGATTCCTTTAGCAGTGGAATGATTCCTCGTTCTGTTGACCCTCAGAACCCGTGGAATGCAGATTGACTGAAGAGGGATGGGAGTATGCAGGATTCAAGAACGTGGATGCAAGTGGCAGGAAGTGTAAGCCCTGGTTGACGTCCAACGCCAAGCGATTTCAACTCCTCAACTTCCTCGCATTCCCTGACGAAAGCATGGACTATAGCTTCAACTACTGTCGCAATCCTGACCCTAGCAATGGAAGTCTCTGGTGCTTCACTGAAGAAGAAGAAACTTTGAAAGGACGGAGTCGGTGCAATGTCTCATTCTGCTACGAAGTGTATGAGCGTTCCGCTCTGGAAGGTATGCTTTAAGATTGCTGCATTCTTGGTTTCGTATATTTTTCTCTTTTGTGGCTTTCAATGAATTCAGATGTGCGAATATCTTATCCTACACAGCTACCAAAGACTGAATAATGGAAAATTTTACTTTCCAAGATTTTGGAAACCAGTTCTCTTAAACCTTTTAAGCACTGCAGGCAGGCAGTATCTACGCTTCAGGTGATTCAAAGACTTTCACGCCTAAAACGTGACAGGTAAACCGGCGCAAGGATACCCGGAATGTTTGCAGACCAATATGGGAAAGGAATACGTGGGGACGACGAGGAAGACGATATCTGGGAAGCCCTGCCTCCGATGGGACACTCAGCCCTATGGAAAGCTTGAGGATTTCGACCCGAAATTATCCTACGATGATCATTTCCGATTTGGCGATGCCTCATCGCATCAAGACTTCTGCAGGAACCCGACATTGAAGAATCAACCCTGGTGCTTCGTCGCCGATCCAGACATGAAATGGGAATTCTGCAATATCCTCCTCTGCCCAAACTACCCCGGTGAGCTCACTCTGATCCACGATGAAATGTTCTACCTGGTTCGAAATGCGTCATGCTAGGGTTGGAAAAGAAGCAACACTCAAAGTAGACATATCGTTATAGTCCGTGAGAGCTTGCTGTGGGCAAAATAATACCATATCAGTCGCTTCTTGAAGCAGCCAAAAACGACTCAAGTGTAGGTTTGACTTGGAGATAGAAATATTATAGAATATTTTTCACTCCACCAGACAAGACGGAATGCAAATGGACCCACAAGGGAGAGGAATACGCAGGGACTCTCAACGTGACGGTGTCCGGGCGTCCGTGTCTGCCTTGGAGCGACTCCGGATTACTGGAACAATTTTGGCCGAGGTTCCCAGAAGACGTGGGGAGCGAGGATCACAACTTTTGTCGCAATCCAACAGGGAGAAAAGACCTGGCCTATTGCTTTGTTGGTTTCAACGAAACCGAAAAGACCTTCGAAGCCTGTGACATTCCTTTCTGCCCCTTCCACTTCCTCCACTAAAGACGCCTCGTAGGTGAAGTAAGCAGTGAGGCAATGAAAATGTTTTTGCGTTTAATGAACTGCTGGTTGCATTCAATTCTCGTTGTTAAATGTAGGTATTCACGTATTTTGGCGCATATACATTATGTAGGTCAGGCATATATGGAGGTCAGGCTACTTACTCTTTTGATTTTCAAATAATTACTTTACTTTTGATCTTTTTCTTTGGTAGCACCAGGGGTACATAATTCTGCTCACCCCGCCCCCTGTGGGAGGGGTGATATAGGTTTGCAAATGAGTGGATGCATGCTATTGATGCGGCGATATGTTTGGCTCGATATGGATCGACGTCGGCAGTTTTGTGTTTTCTTTACCCGCGCCGTTTCTTTTTTATTTTTCGTATTCGGAGTCACAATTAATATGGTGGAGATCGGAGTTGCGTCATAGGGGAAATGGAATCTCCTACTGCATCATACCTCTTACGTTCCTGTGGTTTGCAGACGGAGACTCATTCAAATGCATAAACTCGAGAAGAAAAAGGAACAAAAAAACAAAAACAAGAATGGACCTTCCTATTCTGTTCCCATTTTAGTTACACCATTTCGCTTGAGCTTTTTGCTGCTTCGTGATTTCCTATAGCAAAAGGATCAATCACGCATGTGTTCATTATTTTATTAGCTTTGTTTGCGTACCTAATTATTGTTAACACTGAGTTAATTCCAAAATGTTGCTTCAAAGACTGGTTTCTAAAATTGTCAATTGTGACAAACTTTTATTTATTATTGACTTTGCAAGGCACATAAAATGTACCTGTGCCCAAATAGCAAATATTTTTCCCACACGACGTACAGTTTATGATTGTTTTCTTGTCATAGGTACAAAAAGCATAGGGGACGCTTCTTTACAAGAACAAAACATCATTCTCGACGGGCTCTTTCTTTATTCAGGCAGCGGATCCCTTTCTATGTCTGTTTGAAGGAATGTAAAGGGTATTTTTTTTTTAAGGTATTTTTCCCACTGGTTGGGGAAAAAAAGGTCAACATACATACCGGGTATATCAGAAATGAATAAAGTGGCGTTGAACTCAGTCAACCTCGTGAATTGTAAGGAACGGCATGGAGCCGGTAGGAAAGGACACAGTAAATAACATGAATCTCACAGATTCATTATTTCAGTCATTTTTTTTTCACATTCTCCCATGTTATGTGCACCAATGTACACCCAGACGCAGTTTGGTATCCATGACAAGAAATTATGCAAGTTCTAAATGGAAACATTTTTTGAGAAGGGGCATCGATGATAATTGGAACTTGTCATTTTTAGTGAAACTCTCGACTTGGGAAAGACAACACAGTCATTCGCATCGAGTGAAATAAGAAGTGAGTGCATCTCGCAAGTGGATATGGAAAATGCGTACCGCGCTCCCGAGAAGCCTGGTTGGAATCTTGGCTTGGAGGCTTTTTTGTAGAAGCGCGAAGGAGCAGGGACTGAAAGTGACGAGAGAGGATGTCGGTGCTTGGCTGTCCTCTCAAGATAAGTATTCCATTCATAAACCAGTCAGGAAAACATTTCCGCGAAATCGTGCCATCGTGTCCGATATCGACGAACAATGGCAGATCGATCTCATGGATGTCCAAAATATCTCTCGATACAATGACGGATACAGTCTCGCCTGTATCGACGTTTCATCAAAGTATGCTTGGATGATCCCTGTCAAAAGCAAGACGGGGCTTTCAAGAGGATTCTGAAAGAAGGCAGGAATCTAAATCCAAATCCAAATCCAAATCCAAATCCAAATCCAATAAAGTCCAAAGCGACGCAGGGGAAGGAATTTTTTAACTGGGCAATTCAAGGCCTTCTCAAAAGGAAAGGAATAGGCTTTTTTGTTTCAAATTCGGAAAAGAAGGCTAGCATAGTAGAACGTGTTATACTGACAATCAAATCTAAAATGTGGAGATACTTTAGAGCCAGAAACACTTTTAAATATACGGGTGTATTGGAAAAGTTTGCAAAATCGTACAATAGCACTATCCATTCAGCCATGAAGATGAAACCTGTTGAAGTCAAACAAGAAACTCTCAAGTCGGTATTGCATAATTTATATGGTACGATGTGGCAAAAAAAATCCTGTTTCACGCGCACCGTTTCGGAAGGGAATTGGAATGAGGAAAATTTTCAGGATTACAGATTGCAGTCCAAGAATTCCTCCAACGTATAGGATAGGAGATTTGAATAAGGATTCGATTGAAGGAATATTTTATGAGCCGGAACTTCAGAAAGTGAAGCCGGATCTTGTAGTCTACTTCAGGGTTCAAACTGTCATCCGACAAGGAAAAAGAAAGGGAAAAAGAAAGAGTATTTCGTGAAATGGCTTGGTCATCCGGAGTCCTTCAATTCCTGGGTTTCAGAATACGAAATGAATTTTAAAAAATCAGTAAAATGTTTTTTCTTTCATGCCAGTCACCAAGATGAGTTTTTACGTGACAATTCCCCAGATTTTTTCCCCCGAGAATACAGTTACCAGATTGAAAACGTATTTACCCGCACCCCTCGTTCTAAATGGGCAATGGGAAGTTGGAGATTTTTTTCCCCCATTCTTGGGAAAATGTAACCGACAACATGTACGGTTAAAACTCGGTCTCGGTTAAAACAGATAAAAAGATACATACGAAATTCCGCGCGGCAATTATTCGAGGATTGAAGACGTGATACAGCTCTTACCACACAACTTTTTGAGGGGGCAAGCGAGAATCTATTAATATTAATTCTAAGCGACAATGTGATGGTTGACTTTTCTCCAGCGCTTAGGTTTTTCGGTTTTTCTCTTGGGTTTTTCTCCCTCGACGTCGCCACTCAGCATGTGTTCGTCATCCGTGCCATTTAGCGAATCGAGTGAATATTTGCCGAAAATGAGTTGCGTGGGGGATTTTGCGGCCGATGCGGAATCTGTGAAAACGATATTTGCGTATTGCGACATTATCGAAGCACAATGCGTTGACCGCGGGATGGTACCGCTCTTGAGAACGGTGAAAACCAAAAAACAACCTGGTGAAATCATCGAAAAGACATACGAAAATCCTCATTATCTCCCCGTATCCAAAAAAGAAATTCGTTTCCTTCTCGCTTTCTCTGAAAACATCCCTCGCAGGATTGTTTTGTACCTCGACGTATGTCTCGCCCAGTTTCATTATAGGAATCAATAAACACGGACTTTCCATCATTTGTTATCCACACATTTGAGACAGACTCATTGAGCCCAGGCGACAAAAAAGCTCACATTCCTGATGAAACACACAAGTTTCACAAGTTCTTACCTCCCTCAAGGAGATGTGGAGAATCGTGGTTCCCGATTCCTCTGGGAGATGGCGCCAGCGTCAGGATCCTCACTTTTTCATCCCCTCCAGAGAATTCCCCAACGCAACCGGTGATGAGTGAGACCACGTCGGGACTGCTCTGGATTTCTGCTTGGAACAATTTGTATACCCTCCCTTTCCTTGGATGCAGCGGTCGACATTGGCACTCCCCCTTCCCTTCCAGATATACATCTCCCCTACTTCAGCACTTCTCCTACACAGTTCTGAGGTTCTCCTCGTGCAAGATCCTGGAAGAAGATCTTCAACCGAAGAGCGAAACGATGGCGCACATGGTCCAGATTCAGCAAAACGTTGCGAACGATTATATACGAGAATAGCATGGATGTTATCTTCGACAATAAGAAGTCATTGGATTTAATCACGAATATCGAATCATTTCCTCAAAGCTGAGGAGTTGGTGGATTCTGAGGCACGGACGATTGGCAGCGTGGAATAGCTCAATTGAAAATTTGGCAATATTTACCATTTAACTATTTAGAAAAATTTATCCATTATAGAGCCACGTGTTCCGATTTAGCGCCACCCTCGATACAGGGCCGAAGTCGGCTGAGACCAACTGTGGCGGTGTATCGAGAGTTGATTGAACATCGATATGTGGCGATGGAATACATATTTTCCCCGCGAAAGGCTTTCTTGCTACTGAGTATTGCGCACGCATCAGGAGAGAGTTATTTTTCGGAATTGCGACACGTTGGCAACGCTACTCAGGCAAACCGCAGGTAAATAGAGGAAAACGCTGTTCGCTAGCATTATGGAAGGACCGTAATAATTCGGAAATATCCTTTCGGTGTCAATGTGTTCGGCAATAGGCACTCAAGTTTTGCAAGGTCAATAAAGGATTTAGATGCGCGTGCTAAGATCTCCATCCGTGGCGTCGTTATGAGAGGAAGAGTTCTTACCTCCCTCCGGAGATGACGGCGGCAGATGGTGTAGGTTCCCGATTCCTCTGGAAGATGGCGCCAGCGTCAGGATTCTCACATCCTCATCCCCTCCAGAGAATACCACAGCGAAACCGATGATGAATGAGACCAAGTCGGGACTACTTTTGGTTTCTGCTTGGAACAGCTTTTATACCCTCCCTTTCCTTGGATGCAGCGGTCGACCTTGGCACTCCCCCTTCCCTTCCAGATATCCATCTCCCCCACTTCCGGCTTCCTTTCCACCTTCCCCCTTGCACTGACTCTTTGACTGACGTCTTTTCGAAGCACGCTAGGCCCATTTTCACCTAACAGGTCAATTTTCCTCACTCTGTGAAACGATTCATAATTAGTTGGTTAGTTGAATTTTTAAAATTTACTCTATTACTCACCAAATGCTTCCTCATCGCTAATATTGAAGTGAACACCGTGAAGTTCTTCGCCAGGCCCCTAGATGGCGGTAAGGGTCTCGTTTTTCGCACAATACACAAACGTTCCCTTCTCTCTTTCCCTGGAATCGTCCCTTGCAGGATTGTTTGGTACCTCCATATATGTCTCGCCTAGTCTCATGATTGGAATCAATAAACACGGACACTTCATCATTTGTTATCCACATATTCAAGACATATTCATGGAGTCCAGGCCATAAACAAGCTCATATTCCTATTGAGAACCCTTTCGGAAAGCGTATGTTTAAGTTTTGGTAGCAGCTCGCAATGAGTCCACTGCC